GCCATGTAAAGATAGTTCATGATCTTATAAACTGTGGTGCAGAAATAAACACTCGTGATTCTAATGGATGTACACCATTAAGAGCAGCAGCAAGATGTGGTTCATCAGATACAGTTAATTTACTGTTAAGGCATGGTGCTATTCCTGATCTGGCTGATAACAATCAAAGAACTGCTTTGAGAGCTGCAGCTTGGGGTGGACATTCCGATATTGGTAAGTACTTAAAATACCTAAGCCCAATTAGTGCATTTTAATCCAATTATGTGTCTATATTCCCTTATATTGCACTGGACAAATGTTAATTTTTTTTTTTTTTTTCCCCAAAAAAGTTACACATAAACAATCCAATTTGGCTTTCTTGACAATAATTGCTCTAAGAACAATAAATTGCATTTCACATCTTGTTTTCAAGCTGTGCATAGGAGTTTTTTGCATAACCATAGTAGAAAAAAAACATTCTAAAATTACAAGATTTTATGTAAATGAATTAGTAATTATAAAAAAATATTTGAACAGCATTTACAACATCCTAAACCGTTGAAATATGATCATGAGCTAATGACATAGGCACTTCAAAGACTATAATTTTTCACTCCTAATATTTTTTTATGGACCACCCCCAAGTCATTGCTCAAAGTGTTATTTTCTGCTGGCTAAGGTATGAAAGAAGCAGAAAATGTTTTCTTACACACTCCTGGGGGCCCAATTGTGAATTGGGTGTGGCGGGTGGTATAGGTTGCATAAGCACATTTTGTTGTTTCTTCCACCAAAGCTGACATAGTGACCATTTTTTCTTAAGGAATTTCTTAAGGGGCATTTAGGGTTGGCATTGTAGTAGCAAGTTGATTGATCAATTACTAATGTGTGCATATGTTCTGTTATACAAGATGTATTAGCTGTTATGTTCAGCAGCGGCAGATGGCTGTGGCAGCTCCTAGCAGTGTGTGAGAAATACTAATAAGTAATGACCAACTCTGGATATGGATATAGACTGAGTATTTATAGTAGTAGTTATACTCTACCCCCCCAAAAAAAAAATGTTTATTTGAATGCCACACAATGAGAATCTGGCACCAAATGAGTTTTTAAAAATTTTTGTCATTGCAAAACCTTGCTGCCAACCCTTTCATTTCCTTAACTTCAGATTTTGAGGAATGTAATTAAAAGAAACCTGTTTGCTATATTTACTGGGCCTGGAAGAATGTTCTCATGTTACTGAGATGACAGGGCCAGTGATGACAAGTAATGTCAGAGAATGCAATATTATAAACATATGGTCATGTATAATAATATGAGTGATCCATTGCTATCACTAGTCTAAGGTTTTCTGTTAGGCATTTTGATTAATACTTTGAGTAATGGATTAGTGCTTTTAATTTTAGTGAAAGCTGAAATGGTGTAAGACGGTAAATAATAGTTGGAACAAACGCCATTCTTCGTGTCGTTTCTCATCGACTTTGGTATTTACGTAAATGCCGCACAATTAAAAACACGCAACAGTCCATTTTCCTGACAGCCTTCAGGATTCGTGCTCATTTTCAATAGTCGTGTCTTCAGTTTGATCTCCAAGTGTTGATTGAGATATTCCAGGAGCGTTCAAACTAATAGACGGACATGCGTTTTCAGATGCAGCGTAATATATACTGTATCTGAGGTATAAATATTTACCCAAATTCCTACTACCCGGAGTAGTTGCAAAGTTAAGCAACTTAGCTACATAGCTGTTAGAGTACCGCTCTTGAAACGCAGATTTCGAGGCGAAGTTGCATCTTTCTCAGCTGCTCTTAATAGAGATCCCCAAGAACTCCGACCATCTTAGTCCAATACCTACACATTAATTGGAGAAAAAAATTCCCATAGGCCTCACTCTAGCATTTGCATAGGAGCAACGAAGAGCTAATCCTGGGTTAAGTTTAATTTACATGCTGTTTTTGTTTGCCTTTCTGGATGGTTGTTCTTTTCAAGACTTTAGAAAATAGAATCTCTATGTTAAAATAAACTGTTTTCGAACAATTTATCCCGTGAAGCTATTGTACACCTGCAAAATGGTCTTAAAACACCACACTTTATAACGGAGAAACGCTTGTAGCTATGAGGATTTTCTCTGTATTAGTTCTTCAGTTGCTGCAGAAAGGTGCTGATCCCAATCATATGGACCATGAAGGCCGCACAGCATTAATAGCCGCTGCTCATACTGGTTGTGTTAAAACTGTTGAAGTTCTGTTAGATCACAAAGCAAGTGTAAATCATGCAGATAGCGATGGAAGAACAGCATTAGCAGTATGTATTCTATCAGAAGCCTCGAAGAACCAACTTGGTAAGAATTTCTTAATTCTTATAATGGTTTTATGATTGAGTTAAATAGTTAGCTACGTTAAAAAGGGGGAATAAACAGTTGCTATGTGTGAAAAACGCCGATTAATGCTGTTCCATTTCTAGAATTACGCAGTTGCAATGAATGTTAATAGCGATGTAAAAATTGTTGTTATTTTTCATGTCAGATGTGATCAACGTTTTGTTGGAAAACGGTTCAGATGTAAATCACCCAGATTTCGATGGTATGACTGCCTTATGTTTGGCGTGTACGCTGGGCCATAAAGGTGTTGTACAATTGTTATTAGAGAAAAATGCAGATATTGGACATTGGGATAGACATGGCAGGACGCCGCTGATGTTAGCTTCAGCTAATGGACATCATACTGTTGTTAAATTATTATTGGAAAATCAAAGAGGTAGAGATTGTCTTTGGGTTTTCATGGAATCGACAATTATTTAGTGATGATGTCTTTTGTTATTAGGTAAACAGAGAGATATACCAACAGAGAATTTTTTTAAAAAGGACAATTCTGGCTGGACACCATTGCTGGTTGCCTCATTCAATGGTACGTGAATTCTAATAATGCAACTTGATTTTTGCTTAGCACTGTCGGCGCATAAAATATAATTCTTAACATATTTGCAGGTTTTGAGTCAATTGTCCAGCTACTTCTCTTTTACGGCGCATCTTTGGCTGAAGTTGATGACTCCAAACGAACCGCCCTAATGCTTGCCGCACATGAAGGTCATACAGCGTTAGTTGTACAACTTATTTGTGCAGGATCATCTGTGAATGCGAAATCTCTTGAGAGACGCACGGCAATTCACTACGCGACATTATTTGGACATATTGAGTGTGTTGAAAAATTGTTAGAAAAAGAAGCTGACGTAAACGTATATGATAGTAATGGTATAACACCATTGAACTACGCCGCCAAGGAAGGTATGCATAAGATTTAGCTAATGAAAAGTCAACCTCAGAGGCCAGACTCATCGTGGAGCGAAGGTAGAAGAGCCTGGCCTGCGAGGTTGATGAAAAAAACTATTGAAAATATGATTATGAGCTTGAGTGATTTCTACAGATGAGAGTGAAGCCTGAATCAACTATACATAAAACGTAATACCTTATCAAGAGTAATCTAATTGTTTCGTAAAAAACTAATGCTATAGTTCAAGTAGGGCTATACAGGAGGCAGCGGGTAGGATACTTAGTCTAGTGTTATCTCAGTGTGTTAGTTTTTTTTATTATTTTTTTCTTCAGGTAATGCTAAATTGTGTGAAATGCTGTTAAAAGGTGGAGCGAAGGTCAATTGTCAGGATCCAAATGGAAGAACTCCTCTTCATACAGCAGCATGGAGTGGGTTTTATGGTGTGGCGGAGAAATTAATTGAATATGGTGCAGATGTAAATCATTCAGGGTTGATGGGATACACACCATTAATGACAGCAGCCTGGAAAGGTCATACCTCTGTTTTAAACTTACTTCTTAAGAAGAATGCACAGGTCGATGTCGTGTCTAGCAATGATAAAGCGACAGCTCTCAACATCGCTGCTCAGGAAGGTCACGAAGATGTTGTCAGGTTGTTGTTAAACAATAATGCGTCGTTGTTGCCAGATAAATACGGAAGAGATCCTATGAAGGTTGCCCAGCAAACAGGTAAATTGTTTCAGCTCATTTTTATGGTATCCACGTTTCAAAGAAATATTACCTGGGGAGGGGGGTTTAAACGTTATGTCTGATCAAAACCTAAGTTCAGTTGCAAAATTGATATTGGGATGTTCTGCTTCTATTCCATTTAGTTTAGTGAGAACTTTAACCTTCCTAATGGGGCTAGGGCCTAGGAAGAATATTTGAATATTCCTATTGAATTTATTTCCAATTATAACCAAACGAGTTGTAGTCATGAATTATCCAGTAAATTATAAAGCATTGCCCTTGGAAACTACCATTGGAAGATGGGCAATATGCCATGTACAGTAATAGTAATTTTGTTTTCATAATTTACAGGGAATCGAGTGGTGGTAAAGATATTAGATTCCTTTAGTTCTTTATCAGTGAGTGATGCTAATTTTACCAACACTCTGAAAAAACAATTTCCCAAACTTACGAAAACGACTTCGAATGTGGACAACTCATCACCAGTTCTCTCTGGGAAAAACAAGAAATCCATAACACGAACAACATCCACAACCAGTTCACGTGGAAAGGAAGGAAGCGGAGAACTGGCTAGCTCAAACACAAGTATTAGTTCTACTGGTCCTTCAACACCTTATGAAGAAGAATATTCTCACTCTTATTGTGGTCCATTTGGTGAAATGTCAATGACAATGTCATCAATGTCGAGTTTAAAGCAGAGTAAAACTACCATGTTGAGTTCTTCCCTTGCAATGGACGATGATGTATTTTTCGGAAGGTCTATGTCCAAAGATTCTGTCCATAAAATACCATTTGACTTTAATATTGCATACCATGGTTGTGATCCAATTACTTTAAGAAAAGCATTAGAAATGCCATCAACCGAAACAACATTATGAACTATCTATATATCATTGCAGAATGTTAACGAATAAAATATATTGATATATACTTTTATATTAAACAAGTCAGAGTTATCATTGATTATTTTTTTGTAAAAAACAAAATAAGTACTCTATTCTGATGTTTTAAAGGCTGTTTACACTTGCAATTTTTGCTGATTTTTTCCTTTGATGATTTGAACCAGTGAATTTGTTATGTATGTATGTATGTACACAGCAGAAATTGCAGGTGTAAATGCATCTTTATAATTCAAAAAAGAGGTGCATTAATCTGGTATCATTGTCTTTGATCACAAATCAATAGTCTGTGCATGGTATAAAGTTGCAACAATTTTTGTACTGTCCTGAGACTAAGTCCAAGATCTAGTTGTCACTATGACATGTGACCAACTGTCATTATTGTGGTGAATTAGCACCAAGGCTTGAAGTATGTAACAAGACTGACCAGTGCTTTGCCTGCTGAGTGTTGACATTTGGAAGACTATTACAGTTACTAAAAAAAGCTGCAGGCTTAATTGACACCACAATCAACAGCCTTTTTTTCATTCACTGGGTGAAAACTTTATCATATTCTCAAAATCTCTGTAGCTTATTCTTCCATCATTGTCTCTGTCAACCTCTTCAAACATTCTTTGTAAGTCAAAATGTTTTATAAATGGTGCATTTTTTTGAAAAATACTCTTAGCATCTTCAAAAGTTATGAACCCATGGCATCTTGTATCGCATGCCAAAAATAATTGTCTAATTCCATCATTTTGATCTTGGCCAGACAACTTCGACTTGATTATGCCGTAGAACAGTTCCCGTGATATTCCTGTGGATACATTAGTTTGTTTTGAAAATATTTCATTCACTTCGTATTTAGAAGGTTTATAACCAAACAACTCAATGAGGGCTAACTTTAGTTCATCTCTTGTTAGAAATCCTTTGTTTCCGTGATCTACGTGAGCAAATACTTGGAAAATATGTTGTTTTTCATCTGTCACTCCTATGAACACCGCCATTTTCTCCCAAATACTAAAACAATAATGCATTTACATGAAGTATGCTGTAACAACTGTGGAATCCTGGGATTTGTTTTCAGAAGAAAATACAAATTGATCTAAATTTTTACAGTTGTGGAGGAGTTTTTTGATTTTATCGTATAAACTGCTACTTGTAAGATGCCTGAAGGTATCGTATTTCAACCTCCTTGTATTTTAGTTTTGGAATATTTATTTTAAATATTGAAATGTTTGGTCTGATTCTAGGTACAGAAGTCTTTTCAAATCCCTATGCCCCGTCTGGTAGTACAATGGGCATGGATTCGATGGAAGATGAGGGGTATATATAAAGAATATTCATATTTATTGCGCTGTTGCCAAATTGTCAGTTCAAAAACACACGGCATTTAAAGATAAATCGCATACAAAAATTCAACTCTAAACGAATCTAATCATAAAGTGTCATTTTGCCAAAAATAGGTGCGCTTGCGTACACGTGGCTAGCCAATGGATGTTACAGTATATATTTCACATCATTTTCACTATTAACCACTCGAGATACAGTTATCCTGCTTGATTTAGGATGACTGAAATAATTATGGAATCTTGAGTTGCACACAGTTGTGCTATTTTCAAGCCATAGGGAGTGGAGAATGCATGATAATCACTTGTGATGAAGTTACACAAAAATTTTAATTTGATTATTATATTATACTAAATACAAGAAATGTTATTAATATATTGTCATTGATTATCCTGTGTGAAACAACATATAGAGTTTCTTTTGATTTTAGTCCTGCTCTTACTAATGATGACTTCAGAAAACTGCTAATGACACCAAGAGCAGCTGCTCCTGATGTTGCCCCACCATCTGCAAGTGTTGCTAAATTAAAAGCGTATGTATGGAATAACGTTTTGTACATTGATATGCATGTATGAGAATGTGCAGCAAACAACTAATTTAGACCCATGCATCAAAACCCAGAAATTATAGAATATGTAACAAAATTAAACCACATAGTAAATATTGTTTGAAATACGGTTTTCGGTTTAGCTAATACACAATATTGTGTTTCTAGACAAAGCAAAGTATATAATGAACATGAAAATCCTGCTTCGCTAAGAAGAAAAAGGAAAAGGTATTTGTGTTGCTCAAGCTCTTGCAAGAGTTTACTGCAGTAGTGCCTTACATCAATTTATGTGTATATACTTTGGTGCAATGTTTAATCATGACTTGACATATAATTGGTGCAAAACATGAATTATAACACCCAGTCACAGAGATGAAAGTCAATTATTTATTTTCACAAGCCATTATGCAAAATTGAAGAAAATTGAAGAAGAGAGAGAAAAAGAACTAGCAGCAAAGTACAGGGACAGGGTAAAATATAATTGTTCATATAATATACATGACAATCTTTCGAAAGTATTGAAACATGACAGAATTAGTTTTAGGTAAATGTACCTATTATAGCAGTAAGTATACCTTCAATAGCAGAATATCTTACATGAATAATATTGTTTAAATATAAACATTATAAACCTTGTATATGTGTTTTTATTCTTATAGGCACGTGAAAGACGAGATGGATTCAATCCAGATTATCAAGGAACAGATGTGAATCTTAAAGCATCAGGAGATTATAAAGCAGTTGGTCCAACAGTTGAGGCAACGTAAGTTGGAATTGTTTCAACTAACATATACATTACTATTGGGTGTGGTCTCCATTGCGTTTCACTGTTAGCAATAGCGACTTAAAAAAATGTGGATATTTTCCATGATACAAATAAACAACGTATTGGCATCAATCAATTGGTCATCAATTAATGGTTCAAATAGTATTAAATAAAGGACCATATGGCATTTATTAAATTGAATAGAGCAGATGTTAGTTAATTACTTGAAATGATCATTTTAGAAATACTGCAGCTGAAATGAGAAAAAGGGCAATTCAAGAAAGCAAATTTTTGGGAGGTGACATGGAACATACACATTTGGTGAAAGGTCTTGATTTTGCCTTGTTACAAAAGGTACCTTAGACATATTATTTAAAGATTGTCAGACCTCAGGTGAGGTACCAAACTCATACACCAAAATATTTAAAATTGGGTAGTTTTAAATTTTCATTCTTAACTCCTGAAATTTTAAAATTTGCTTGCGTAACTCCTTTTTAAGAGGGATGCACACTTACTTACCTGTACCCTTAGGAAAACGATTGACAGTTGAGTTACTGACGTGCAGTGCAATCTATTCAGGTGCGGAGTGAAATTACAGCACAAGAATACACAGATGAGGATTTGATGAAAAAAGGAAAACATAAACCTAAGAATGAAAAGTATGTATTTAGATATATCTATTCAACTAGACTTGGACTTTTTATCCAAAAGACAAAATTAAATTTTCTTGGTATCACTGCATGCATGAACCAGCTATATGATTGAATCACTCAATCTCTTTTCCATCCATTTCCACTTAAATTCTCAGCTCCTACAAATCCAGACATGATAATCAGTAGAGTTTTTGGTTCTAATGCAGCTGTGATATTATGTTTTTCTTAGCATCACAACTCACAAGTGATCTTTGATATTTTTGTAAATTAGAAGTAAACAAATTGAAGAAATTGAAGATGATGACGACAGTGATGAAGATGATGAAATGGAATTTTCAACAGTGATGGGTACAATTATTGGGAAACTAAAAAACCAACAAAAAAACATGACTACTGTATATACATTGTTTGCAGAGGTGGTGCCATCCATAGGTGACCTGTAGGGGTTTAAAGGATCACTAAGGCTGGCTGAATGAAATCAATATAATAGTAAGAAAGCGTAAGGGTGAAATGAATTTACTTTCTCTTGCTTGACAGGACAAAAAATCTACAAATCAATTTTTAAGAGCAGACCAGCTGACAAGAACGAACTTTTTCAACCCGGTAGAATGGTAAGTAGTATATTATATTTCAAATATTTACCATATTATGAATTAACAAGAACATGGGCTTTTTTGAATTTTAAATGAAAAAGTTTATTAGGTAAAAAATCAAATCTAAACTTCTAGGCTTACGTGTTCGAACTGGAGGATGAATATGCTGAAAGTGACATCCCAACCACCTTAATAAGGAGTAAAGCTGATTGTCCTGGAATGGAGGTAAATTGAAAGCCAATTAATGAAAAAGTGAACTCTTTTACTCTCCTAAGTGTTTTACTTCTCCTGTAACTTCTCCTTTTACTTCTCCTGTCTCCTAAGTGTTTTACTTCTCCTGTTGCAGCATGAATTTCCGTAAAAAATTTCAATGTATTATTATTAACGTAATTTTTTTGAAAACTATTCTGTTTTTGTGATTCTTCAGGGATCCCAGGCTATGCTACCCATCACTTTTTACTTGTCTTCCATTCACATCAGTCGACGTCTGAATATAAGATATTCTTATCCAATTACAACTTCTCATTTTGTGTGTTAAATAGGCTCAAACGACATTGACAACAAATGACATTGTTATCAATAAATTGACACAAATCCTGTCTTACCTCAGACAAGGCATGCGGGGAAAGAAGATGAAGAAAAAGGAAAGAGGTATTAGGAAGCCTGGGTTGTAAAATGGTTTTACTCTACGTACAACTAATCTATCCGAGTGATCCCACGTAATCTAAACTGGACTGGAACTAGTTGTCAAATAAAAACCCATTTCACAGTTGAAACAACTTAACATCTCTTGAAATATACGTTATTTCGGTTGCAAATTTTTGTCAGAGCTATGCCTATAGTTCTTATATAGCAAAATCACAAAATTTCATAAAGAATAGAAAGAGTAAAGAGTAGTTTCATGAAGTATAACAACCTTTGAACCTTTCCAATGATAACCAAAGAAGCCGAAAAATAAGCATGCGTTTTCAACCTTTATCATTCCATAAACATTGGTAGCACGCGCTTATTTTTAGGCTGCCAATGATAACATTGGAGTACATTGCCTATATATACTTTTCGAAACATGATAATAGATTGCAATGCATTGAGATAAATTGCACAATATCAGGTGTTGATATGGAGTGTTTCATATCAAGGTAAAAACAAGGCTGGAATGGATGATCCGAATGATCAAAGATATCGAGGAAAAGTTCAAGGTTTAGACAGGTTAGTTAAAACAAGCAAGGATGGACAAAGATTTCACTTATTATAGTCTCATTCACAACTTAGAAATAAATAGTGTCTAAATAAGTAATATTTGAAGAGAAAATTTCTCTACGTTTGCATTCACTTCAACTTCGATTTTCTTTCTTGTTTCAAAAATTTTTCGCTTATTTGTAGATTTTAATAAGACGTTTTAAAGATCGTGTTTCTCGTACATTGTCTTATGTTACGTACACTCAGCTCTCTTTCGTGATTTCGTTTGTTATTTATTTATTTTATAGTATTTACGAAGATATTGCTGAGTATAACCCTGATCACAACTCCCGAGATATCAAGAAATCTAAAGATGTGAAGAAAGATAAACATAACTACTTTGAGAAGCCCGTTCATGGAGAAAGAAATGTGAGTATATGACTGTCATACTTTAGATGTGATATTGTATACTATGCAAGGATGTTATTATTTTGAGCCTCCAGAAGAAAATCCATGGATAAGGGGGCGGAAGGCGTCCTTTCCATTTAAGATTAATGGATTAGGATTAAAGGATTAATGCACTGCAATTTGTTAAGAAATGCATTTAGACATGCAGTAGAAATGCAGCAGGAATAGTCTCAGACACTGATCATCTTCAACTGTTGGCGTTGTTGCCCCATTGCCTTTGCATTGTCCCGGCATCCCTGGACATGACTTTCCTCATTTCTTTTGTTTAACTAATGTTTGTTTTTTGTTTTGATAAAAGGTCGACGATTCCAGAAAACCAGGTAAAGCCTAAGGATATAGACCTCAGCGAATAGGCTTCATGCTGTGTTCATTTCGCTGGCTGTTAAGACCTTGTCTTCATGAGCTTATTGTGTTCTTGATTAAAATTGTTTTAGGTCATTGGCGAAAACCTCGTTCTATACATTCCTGCATGCTTAATTTTAACTGGTCAATAACTTATTTAGGGAATTGAGACAGGGTGTTTCCCTCTTAGAAAACTTGAAACACTCACTGTTGCCGAGCATGTTTGTATATCAGTATATGCATGCCAATGGATCGGTTCCAATACAATTGCTCATATAAAGAACAGCCTCAAGGACCAGACAATAATGTTAAGCATACACGTCCAGCCTGACAAAAATAAATTCTTTCATATGTTTTCATGTTTAGAAATTTCCGCTAAAGATTTCGCAAAGAGCGTCACAAAGCAGTTCAGTGACAAGGTAAGTCTACCTCAACCATTTCGGCGAGTATTGATGATTAGAGAATGTACTTGGGGGTTTTCAGTAAATTTGCCTCCTAAATAGCCTTTGCGTTGAACGATGTGTGAAAGCTGGCATTTATTAGTCTCTTGACAGCTTGTTGATAGGTTTTATATAGTTGAATGTATTTACCCAGA